CTTCATTATCTCTACTAACTATAAACTAACCTGCTGATACTTCATTATCTCTACTAACTATAAACTAACCTGCTGATACTTCATTATCTCTACTAACTATAAACTAACCTGTTGATACTTCATTATCTCTACTAACTATAAACTAACCTGTAGATACTTCATTATCTCTACTAACTATAAACTAACCTGCTGATACTTCATTATCTCTACTAACTATAAACTAACCTGCTGATACTTCATTATCTCTACTAACTATAAACTAACCTGTAGATACTTCATTATCTCTACTAACTATAACTATCCTGTAGATACTTCATTATCTCTACACTATAAACTAACCTGTAGATACTTCATTATCTCTACTAACTATAAACTAACCTGCTGATACTTCATTATCTCTACTAACTATAAACTAACCTGCTGATACTTCATTATCTCTAAACTATAAACTAACCTGCTGCGATACTTCATATCTCTACTAACTAAAACTAACCTGTTGATACTTCATTATCTCTACTAACTATAAACTAAACCTGTAGATACTTCATTATCTCTACTAACTATAAACTAACCGTGACTCATTATCTACTAACTATAAACTAACCTGTAGATACTTCATTATCTCTCTAACTATAAACTAACTGCTGATACTTCATTATCTCTACTAACTATAAAACTAACCTGTAGATACTTCATTATCTCTACTAACTATAAACTAACCTGCTGATACTTCATTATCTCTACTAACTAAAACTAACTGCTGATACTTCATTATCTCTACTAACTATAAACTAACCTGCTGATACTTCATATCTCTACTAACTATAAACTAACCTGTAGATACTTCATTATCTCTACTAACTATAAACTAACCTGCTGATACTTCATTATCTCTACTAACTATAAACTAACCTGCTGATACTTATATCTCTACTAACTATAAACTAACCTGCTGATACTTCATTATCTCTACTAACTAAAACTAACCTGCTGATACTTCATTATCTCTACTAACTATAAACTAACCTGTAGATACTTCATTATCTCTACTAACTAAAACTAACCTGTAGATACTTCATTATCTCTACTAACTATAAACTAACCTGTAGATACTTCATTATCTCTACTAACTATAAACTAACCTGTAGATACTTCATTATCTCTACTAACTATAAACTAACCTGCTGATACTTCATTATCTCTACTAACTATAAACACCTGTAGATACTTCATTATCTCTACTAACTATAAACTAACCTGCTGATACTTCATTATCTCTACTAACTATAAACTAACCTGTAGATACTTCATTATCTCTACTAACTATAAACTAACCTGCTGATATCTATCTCTCTACTAACTATAAACTAACCTGTAGATACTTCATTATCTCTACTAACTATAAACTAACCTGCTGATACTCATTATCTCTACTAACTATAAACTAACCTGTAGATACTTCATTATCTCTACTAACTATAAACTAACCTGTAGATACTTCATTATCTCTACTAACTATAAACTAACCTGTTGATACTTCATTATCTCTACTAACTATAAACTAACCTGTTGATACTTCATTATCTCTACTAACTATAAACTAACCTGCTGATACTTCATTATCTCTACTAACTATAAACTAACCTGTAGATACTTCATTATCTCTACTAACTATAAACTAACCTGTTGATACTTCATTATCTCTACTAACTATAAACTAACCTGTTGATACTTCATTATCTCTACTAACTATAAACTAACCTGTAGATACTTCATTATCTCTACTAACTATAAACTAACCTGCTGATACTTCATTATCTCTACTAACTTAAACTAACCTGCTGATACTTCATTATCTCTACTAACTATAAACTAACCTGTAGATACTTCATTATCTCTACTAACTATAAACTAACCTGCTGATACTTCATTATCTCTACTAACTATAAACTAACCTGTTGATACTTCATTATCTCTACTAACTATAAACTAACCTGCTGATACTTCATTATCTCTACTAACTATAAACTAACCTGCTGATACTTCATTATCTCTACTAACTATAAACTAACCTGCTGATACTTCATTATCTCTACTAACTATAAACTAACCTGCTGATTCAATTAGAAAGTGTGCTCTTGATGAATGCTTAATCAAATTAAGGCTGATTAAAAGAATATTACATTACATATATATATATGATTATAACATGATTACAAGTCAAATTCTGAGAAAAGAGTCGAAAAATCTAAATTCTGTGAAGTGTCCTCTCGATGAAGTGTCCTCTCGATGAAGTGTCCTCTCGATGAAGTGTCCTCTCGATGAAGTGTGCTCTCGATGAAGTGTCCTCTCGATGAAGTGTCCTCTCGATGAAGTGTGCTCTTGATGAAGTGTCCTCTCGATGAAGTGTGCTCTCGATGAAGTGTGCTCTCGATGAAGTGTCTCTCGATGAAGTGCTCTCGATGAAGTGTGCTCTTGATGAAGTGTCCTCTCGATGAAGTGTCCTCTCGATGAAGTGTCCTCTTGACGAAGATGTCCTCTTGATGAAGTGTCCTCTCGATGAAGTGTCCTCTCGATGAAGTGTGCTCTCGATGAAGTGTCCTCTTGATGAAGTGTCCTCTCGATGAAGTGTGCTCTTGATGAAGTGTGCTCTCGATGAAGTGTGCTCTTGATAAATGAAGTGTCCTCTCGATGAAGTGTCCTCTCGATGAAGTGTGCTCTTGATGAAGTGTCCTCTTGATGAAGTGTCCTCTTGATGAAGTGTGCTCTCGATGAAGTGTGCTCTTGATGAAGTGTGCTCTTGATAATGAAGTGTCCTCTCGATGAAGTGTCCTCTTGATGAAGTGTGCTCTCGATGAAGTGTGCGCTTGATAATGAAGTGTCCTCTCGATGAAGTGTGCTCTCGATGAAGTGTGCTCTTGATGAAGTGTCCTCTTGATGAAGTGTCCTCTTGATGAAGTGTGCTCTGATGAAGTGTGCTTTGATAAATGAAGTGTCCTCTTGATGAAGTGTCCTCTTGATGAAGTGTGCTCTTGATGAATGAAGTGTGCTCTTGATGAATGAAGTGTGCTCTTGATGAATGAAGTGTGCTCTTGATGAATGAAGTGTGCTCTTGATGAATGAAGTGTGCTCTTGATGAATGAAGTGTCCTCTTGATGAATGAAGTGTGCTCTTGATGAAGTGTGCTCTTGATGAATGAAGTGTCCTCTTGATGAAGTGTCCTCTTGATGAAGTGTGCTCTTGATAAATGAAGTGTCCTCTTGATGAAGTGTCCTCTCGATGAAGTGTGCTCTTGATGAATGAAGTGTGCTCTTGATGAATGAAGTGTGCTCTTGATGAATGAAGTGTGCTCTTGATGAATGAAGTGTGCTCTTGATGAATGAAGTGTGCTCTTGATGAATGAAGTGTCCTCTTGATGAATGAAGTGTGCTCTTGATGAATGAAGTGTGCTCTTGATGAATGAAGTGTCCTCTTGATGAATGAAGTGTGCTCTTGATGAAGTGTCCTCTTGATGAATGAAGTGTCCTCTTGATGAATGAAGTGTGCTCTTGATGAAGTGTCCTCTTGATGAATGAAGTGTGCTCTTGATGAAGTGTCCTCTTGATGAATGAAGTGTGCTCTTGATGAATGAAGTGTGCTCTTGATGAATGAAGTGTGCTCTTGATGAATGAAGTGTGCTCTTGATGAATGAAGTGTCCTCTTGATGAATGAAGTGTGCTCTTGATGAAGTGTCCTCTTGATGAAGTGTGCTCTTGATGAAGTGTGCTCTTGATGAAGTGTGCTCTTGATGAATGAAGTGTGCTCTTGATGAATGAAGTGTGCTCTTGATGAATGAAGTGTGCTCTTGATGAATGAAGTGTGCTTGATGAAGTGTCCTCTTGATGAATGAAGTGTCCTCTTGATGAATGAAGTGTCCTCTTGATGAAGTGTGCTCTTGATGAATGAAGTGTCCTCTTGATGAAGTGTGCTCTTGATGAAGTGTGCTCTTGATGAATGAAGTGTCCTCTTGATGAAGTGTGCTCTTGATGAATGAAGTGTCCTCTTGATGAATGAAGTGTCCTCTTGATGAATGAAGTGTCCTCTTGATGAATGAAGTGTGCTCTTGATGAATGAAGTGTGCTCTTGATGAAGTGTGCTCTTGATGAATGAAGTGTGCTCTTGATGAAGTGTGCTCTTGATGAATGAAGTGTGCTCTTGATGAATGAAGTGTCCTCTTGATGAAGTGTGCTCTTGATGAATGAAGTGTGCTCTTGATGAATGAAGTGTCCTCTTGATGAAGTGTGCTCTTGATGAATGAAGTGTCCTCTTGATGAAGTGTGCTCTTGATGAATGAAGTGTCCTCTTGATGAATGAAGTGTGCTCTTAATGAATGAAGTGTGCTCTTGATGAATGAAGTGTGCTCTTGATGAATGAAGTGTGCTCTTGATGAATGAAGTGTCCTCTTGATGAATGAAGTTCCTCTTGATGAATGAAGTGTCCTCTTGATGAATGAAGTGTGCTTGATGAATGAAGTGTGCTCTTGATGAATGAAGTGTCCTCTTGATGAATGAAGTGTCCTCTTGATGAATGAAGTGTGCTCTTGATGAATGAAGTGTCCTCTTGATGAATGAAGTGTCCTCTTGATGAATGAAGTGTGCTCTTGATGAATGAAGTGTCCTCTTGATGAATGAAGTGTCCTCTTGATGAAGTGTGCTCTTGATGAATGAAGTGTGCTCTTGATGAATGAAGTGTCCTCTTGATGAAGTGTCCTCTTGATGAATGAAGTGTCCTCTTGATGAATGAAGTGTCCTCTTGATGAAGTGTCCTCTTGATGAATGAAGTGTCCTCTTGATGAATGAAGTGTCCTCTTGATGAATGAAGTGTGCTCTTGATGAATGAAGTGTCCTCTTGATGAAGTGTCCTCTTGATGAATGAAGTGTCCTCTTGATGAATGAAGTGTGCTCTTGATGAAGTGTCCTTTGATGAATGAAGTGTGCTCTTGATGAAGTGTCTCTCTTGATGAATGAAGTGTCCTCTTGATGAATGAAGTGTGCTCTTGATGAATGAAGTGTGCTCTTGATGAATGAAGTGTCCTCTTGATGAAGTGTCCTCTTGATGAATGAAGTGTGCTCTTGATGAATGAAGTGTCCTCTTGATGAATGAAGTGTCCTCTTGATGAAGTGTGCTCTTGATGAAGTGTCCTCTTGATGAACTCTTTATATTCCTCAGGCTCTGTGGATGGAAGTGTGGAGCTCTGCGATGGGACCGGAGAGAGTGTTGCCGAACTCTGAGGACGACCTGGGGGGAGACGAGAGACCTGGAGCCCTGCTGCCAGTGTGGGGGGGGGGGAGGGAGGGGGGGAGATAGAGGGGGAGGAGGAGGAGGAGGAAGAGGAGAACAACAATGATGGAGGAGAGTATTATTACCAGCCTCTGAACCAGGAGCCTGAGGGACACTCTCTCCCCCCCGAGCAGCCGGGGGAGGATGGGAGGAGGGGGAGGAGGGGGAGGAGGAGGGAGACGCACCCCCCTTAACAGAGCAGCTGCAGCAGGTGCAGCACAGGATACAGGTGAGGCCTGAACACACCTTTACCTGAACAACTAAACACCTGAACACATCACCTGAACACATCACCTGAACACATCACTGAACACATCACCTGAACACATCACCTGAACACAATAAACACATCATCTGAACACACCACCTGAACCATCACCTGAACACATCACCTGAACACATCACCTGAACACAATAAACACATCATCTGAACACATCACCAGAGGCCTGTACTACGAAGCCGGATGTTCTCTTATGGCGCATTTCCACTACACGGTTGGCCTCGGCCACACTCGGTACGGCTCGGTACGGCTTGGCCGCGTTGGGCCTTAACAGGGCCGACTCACTTCATGCTGCGCTTCCATTACAGTTTAGGAACTGGGGTAGTAACTATAGTAACGCAGTGTAGGCGGAGCCGTGACGTCATCTTCAATGAGAACCCCAGAAAAACAACACAGCCGTTAGCTGTTAGCACTCAGAGCTCACAGCTCCTCATATCTGTTCAGAAACTAGACAGAAGTTAAACAAGTACACACCACAGACTGCCTGTGTCATGGTGAATACAGTCGCTGCTTTATTTATGTCTGTATAGGCCGTTGTTGTGAGTGTGGACGGTCGGAGCATATACTGCGTTAGCTTAGCCAATCTCCATCTAGAAAAACACGCATTTTAAAAGGTGTTTCGCCTGCCGTCTGTCTGCAGACTTGCCAAAGCATTAATTCATGGTTTTTACTAACCGGTATCAGTATGTTGTTACTTCATCATTTAGAAACGTGTATTACAATTAAATCACGGTCAAATATGTCCATCTTGTTGTAGTTCTAGCCCTCTTGCCAGCGATGCTCTCTCTAGTTTAGCATACTCAGCCCGACTCAGCCCTGTTTGTTGGCCTCGATAGAACCACAATTTTCTAGGGCCAGAAAAGAGGTGAAAAAGTAGCCCCGCGCCGTGCCGCGCCGGAACTAGGCCTAATGGAAGCACAACCAAAAAAGGGGACGGCACGACACGGCACGCTTAAAGCGAGCTACGCGCTGCAGTGGAACTGCGCCATTAGCTGACTTCAGGGTAAACTCTGGCTTTCCGGTCCTACGACGCTGGTTCTCTTTTTAGCGGGCTAGATCTCCATGGTAACTTATGCTGAGCGGCAAACCTCCTCCGGAGCAGGTTAGGTTGCAGGCTAAGAGATCAACTCAGTGAAAGCACCGCCTGCTGACCAATCAGAGCTCAGTGTGCAGAGTTTAAAGCGATCAAGTCATATTACAGGATAGAGGAAATACAGAAAAACTGCCGTTGCAGGAAAGACGGCCGGCAAAAATCACCTGACTGTGTGAACGTGAACATGAATAGAATATCCCCTCCCATCTTCAGAGCAATCTGACTATTATAACATTAGTGTTAAGAAAGCTTACTTAAATATCTGCCACAACATAAGTAACCGGATCAGAGTAACATTACGTACAGTCCGCGGCACTGTGAGTGCAGACGTCGATGTGTCCCATTATCATTCATATCATATCACATCATAATGTATCATATATTTCCTTATCTGAGTCAGCTGAGCCGTATCTGGCCGTGCAACACTCTCAGTGTCACATACTGTATGCAGAAGTATTATTTTAACCTGTTAAGCCCGAGAGACCCCGGTACCGGGGCACTGCTGCAACATCTTGCAGGAAACAGTGTCTGAGGGCATGTTCATTTAATAAACTATGAATGTTTTATATCCATGTAACGGGAAGAAACTCATCTAACTGATCATTTTTTTTTTTTTTTCAAAAGAAAACCCACAATGCTAACACTGAGCCTCTGAATTAGCAATGCGCGAAAAATGCTAACAGATTACTGCACCGAATATCACTCACAAAACCTTATTATTTATCTTTTCTCCACATCCATGACATCGATTCACATCGTGAGGTGACACAGAATCGATGGGTACCCTCATTATCACTGAATTATACGAAATCGCGACGTTATAAACAAAAACAGGTGACGCTAGGTAGCTAAAGATGCTAACAAGCTTACCTTGGCCCTGAAAGTGGTCTTCAATGGAATTAAAACGATAAAAGCGCTGCTGAAGTTAATCCATAGGTTAATCCAATGTGTCTGTGTCCCTTTGAAATGATTTCTGATAATCCATAAGCATTAAAACTGCTTTTCCATTTTCAGATGTCAGAGCTAGAGATAGGTCCACTCTGAAGCAAAACTGCATGCGCAAAGCCCCCACCTTTTTGTTTCACAATGAGTGTGTGTGGGGGACTCCCCCTTCGATTCTATTGGCTCTAACGGTCAGAAAGAGGTGTCAACCATCAAAATCGAGCAAGGGGGGCCAGAGATATAAAAAAAAAACATTTCCACCCAAATCACCCCAGAAGTGGTTTCTTTTGGCTAAACCTCTCTAAAAAGGTCAAATGTCACTTGTTTTGCATCAATCTTGATACAGGGTACTTATTATATGTTGTACTTTGGATTCCTAAAGCTTTTTAGTCTCCTATCCCATCATCCAAGGGTAGTTTTCACTATAAGTAAAAAGAATATTGGGACGGACCACTATAATTTACAGTTTTTTACTATGTTCAATCTGAATTTTCTTTAAAATAAAAACATCTATATTGATCTGACTTTTCTACATCCAACTCACAGGTTTATCATTACTTTGAGAAAAAGATTATTAATTTAACCCTTTAGAAGGGAAGATATGGTCATTTGTTCTGGGAATGTCATTTTCGAGCCTGAGACCTGAAAAACAGGCTCAGGGCTTAACAGGTTAAGCAACACATTAAGTTGACGAAACACTTGAGTCAAATGTAATTAAAGTCAGATCGTGTCTTAGACGGGGCAGTGATATCATAAACCTGTTAATGTACACATTCAAACACTTTCTCTGTTACCAGCTGTATTCACCTTGCAGGTGCAGCTATGTGGCTTTTATCCTGGATAAAGTGTTTAAGTCATGGATGTTTAAAGTTTCACTTCTTCATATTTGACTAATATTAAAGTTCACTTTTCATTCAGGAAGTATGACGCTGCGCTGTCAGTACGCTTGTCCATGTTGGTGATTGGTCAAATGTTGCTAACCCCGCCCCTTTTATGTGAACGCGCACCTAACTAGATAGGACACGGCTGGCTTGAGCGATCCACTTGATAACCAGCGTCGTAGGACCGTTTAGCGAGAGCGCGTATGTTTTGGATTGGGCCAACCGGCTAACTCAAACATATCCAGGTTAGGTTGAACCGGCTTCGTCGTACAGGCCTCTGAACACACCTGAACACATCACTTGAACACCTGAACACACCACCTGAACACACCACCTGAACACATCACCTGAACACCTGAACACACCACCTGAACACACCACCTGAACACACCACCTGAACACACCACCTGAACACACCACCTGAACACATCACCTGAACACACCACCTGAACACACCACCTGAACACACCACCTGAACACATCACCTGAACACACCACCTGAACACCTGAACACACCACCTGAACACACCACCTGAACACACCACCTGAACACACCACCTGAACACACCACCTGAACACCTGAACACACCACCTGAACACACCACCTGAACACACCACCTGAACACATCACCTGAACACACCACCTGAACACATCACCTGAACACACCACCTGAACACCTGAACACACCACCTGAACACACCACCTGAACACACCACCTGAACACACCACCTGAACACCTGAACACACCATCTGAACACACCATCTGAACACATCACCTGAACACACCACCTGAACACCTGAACACACCATCTGAACACACCACCTGAACACATCACCTGAACACACCACCTGAACACACCATCTGAACACACCACCTGAACACACCATCTGAACACACCACCTGAACACACCACCTGAACACACCACCTGAACACACCACCTGAACACACCATCTGAACACACCATCTGATGTGCCACCTGAACACACCACCTGAACACCTGAACACACCACCTGAACACACCACCTGAACACCTGAACACACCACCTGAACACACCACCTGAACACACCACCTGAACACCTGAACACACCACCTGAACACACCACCTGAACACCTGAACACACCACCTGAACACACCACCTGAACACCTGAACACACCACCTGAACACACCATCTGAACACACCATCTGATGTGCCACCTGAACACACTGTTGTGGAGATCCAGCATAACACAACAGGAAAGAATGAAACAGAGAGGAATCAATAAAACACAAACACAGATATAGCTGAAAAGTAATTATTATTTAGTTGTTGCAACAAACAAACAATAATGGGAAGTACATCACCTGCTGCCACAGCAGCCAATCACAGAACTGCCCCCCAGAACAGAAGAAACACAGGGCTAGATATACTTTTCTAAATGACACACGAACATGTTCCACAAACATGTTTAACGCACACACATTTTATCATGCAGCCAACCACACAAATGTCACATGTGTTTCTCTCTGAAAGCTATACCTGTATATGTTTAAACGTCATCATCTCATGAAATCTTTAGGATTAGTTAACTAACAAAGGTTAACTGTTTTTATAACCTCTTCTCTGAACTTCCTATACCCTCGGTGTCAGCTCACTTAAAATGAATACATCTATTGATAATTCAGAACGACCATTGTCTCTCTAACTGTGTGTGACCCAACTCAGTAACACACATCATATGGAATACCATGTGATCATTAATGAATATCAGAAATACGCTGTATTAAACATTCTGCCATAACAACACCACCTGAACACACCACCTGAACACACCACCTGAACACATCACCACCTGAACACATCACCACCTGAACACATCACCACCTGAACACATCACCACCTGAACACATCACCACCTGAACACACCACCTGAACACACCACCTGAACACACCACCTGAACACACCACCTGAACACACCAACTGAACACACCATCTGAACACATCACCTGAACACACCACCTGAACACACCACCTGAACACACCACCTGAACACCCCACCTGAACACACACCTGAACACACCACCTGAACACACCACCTGAACACACCACCTTACAAAACCACCTGAACACCTTAACCCACACCACCTTAACACACCACCTGAACACACCATCTGAACACCACCTGAACACATCACCTGAACACACCACCTGAACACACCACCTGAACACACCACCTGAACACACCATCTGAACACACCACCTGAACACATCACCTGAACACACCAACTGAACACACCTGAACACATCACCTGAACACACCACCTGAACACACCAACTGAACACACCAACTGAACACACCATCTGAACACATCACCTGAACACCTGAACACACCATCTGAACACATCACCTGAACACACCACCTGAACACACCACCTGAACACACCACCTGAACACCTTTACCTGCTGGCTTCCTGAGTAACACTCCTTGAACCTCTAATGACCTCAGGTTACTCTCCTCTCCTGCAGGACATGGGTCTGCACCTCCCTGAAGCCCTCCCTCAGAGAGTGAGGATGACGAGGAGGAGGGGGCGTCGGCCCTGAGGAGCCGAGCTTCCATCCCCATGGACGAAGGTCAGACCCCCAGAACTGTAGTTTACACATCAATACACATGAATACACATCAATACACATGAATACACATATATACACATATATACACATCAATACACATCAATATACACATCAATATACACATCAATACACATCAATACACATCAATACACATCAATACACATATACACATATACACATCAATACACATATACACATCAATACACATCAATACACATATACACATATATACACATATATACACATCAATACACATATCAATACACATATCAATACACATATCAATACACATATCAATACACATATCAATACACATCTACACATCTACACATCAATACACATATATACACATATATACACATATACACACATATATACACACATATATACACACATATACACACATATACACATCAATACACATCAATACACATCAATACACATCAATACACATCAATACACACCAATACACACCAATACACACCAATACACATCAATACACATCAATACACATCAATACACATCAATACACATCATTACACATCAATACACATCAATACACATCAATACACATATATACACATATATACACATAATTACACATCAATACACATCAATACACATAATTACACATAATTACACATATATACACATCAAAATACACATCAATACACATCAAAACACATAATTACACATCAATACACATATATACACATCAATACACATCAATACACATCAATACACATATATACACATCAATACACATCAATACACATATATACACATCAATACACATCAATACACATCAATACACATATATACACATCAATACACATCAATACACATATATACACATAATTACACATATATACACATCAATACACATCAAAACACTGTCAAGTACTTGTATTTTAGTTATAGTATGTTTACAGTGTTATAGTATGTTTACAGTGTTGTAGTATGTTTACAGTGTTGTAGTATGTTTACAGTGTTGTAGTATGTTTACAGTGTTGTTATAGTATGTTTACAGTGTTGTTATAGTATGTTTACAGTGTGGTAGTATGTTTACAGTGTTATAGTATGTATACAGTGTTATAGTATGTTTACAGTGTGGTAGTATGTTTACAGTGTTATAGTATGTATACAGTGTTATAGTATGTATACAGTGTTGTAGTATGTTTACAGTGTTGTAGTATGTATACAGTGTTATAGTATGTATACAGTGTTATAGTATGTTTACAGTGTTATAGTATGTATACAGTGTTATAGTATGTTTACAGTGTTATAGTATGTATACAGTGTTATAGTATGTTTACAGTGTGTAGTATGTTTACAGTGTTGTAGTATGTATACAGTGTTATAGTATGTATACAGTGTTATAGTATGTATACAGTGTTATAGTATGTATACAGTGTTATAGTATGTTTACAGTGTTGTTATAGTATGTTTACAGTGTTGTTATAGTATGTATACAGTGTTGTAGTATGTATACAGTGTTGTAGTATGTATACAGTGTTGTAGTATGTATACAGTGTTATAGTATGTATACAGTGTTATAGTATGTATACAGTGTTGTAGTATGTATACAGTGTTGTAGTATGTATACAGTGTTGTAGTATGTATACAGTGTTATAGTATGTATACAGTGTTATAGTATGTTTACAGTGTTGTAGTATGTATACAGTGTTATAGTATGTATACAGTGTTGTTATAGTATGTATACAGTGTTGTTATAGTATGTTTACAGTGTTATAGTATGTATACAGTGTTATAGTATGTTTACAGTGTTATAGTATGTTTACAGTGTTATAGTATGTATACAGTGTTGTTATAGTATGTTTACAGTGTTATAGTATGTATACAGTGTTATAGTATGTATACAGTGTTATAGTATGTTTACAGTGTTATAGTATGTATACAGTGTTGTTATAGTATGTTTACAGTGTTATAGTATGTATACAGTGTTATAGTATGTATACAGTGTTATAGTATGTTTACAGTGTTATAGTATGTTTACAGTGTTATAGTATGTTTACAGTGTTATAGTATGTTTACAGTGTTATAGTATGTTTACAGTGTTATAGTATGTTTACAGTGTTATAGTATGTATACAGTGTTGTTATAGTATGTTTACAGTGTTGTAGTATGTATACAGTGTTGTAGTATGTTTACAGTGTTATAGTATGTATACAGTGTTGTAGTATGTATACAGTGTTGTTATAGTATGTTTACAGTGTTGTAGTATGTATACAGTGTTGTAGTATGTATACAGTGTTGTTATAGTATGTTTACAGTGTTGTAGTATGTATACAGTGTTGTTATAGTATGTTTACAGTGTTGTAGTATGTATACAGTGTTGTAGTATGTATACAGTGTTGTTGTTATAGTATGTTTACAGTGTTATAGTATGTATACAGTGTTATAGTATGTATACAGTGTTATAGTATGTTTACAGTGTTGTTGTTATAGTATGTTTACAGTGTTATAGTATGTATACAGTGTTATAGTATGTATACAGTGTTGTTGTTATAGTATGTTTACAGTGTTATAGTATGTATACAGTGTTGTAGTATGTTTACAGTGTTATAGTATGTATACAGTGTTGTTGTTATAGTATGTTTACAGTGTTATAGTATGTATACAGTGTTGTTGTTATAGTATGTTTACAGTGTTATAGTATGTATACAGTGTATGTAGTATGTTACAGTGTTATAGTATGTATACAGTGTTATAGTATGTTTACAGTGTTATAGTATGTATACAGTGTTGTAGTATGTTTACAGTGTTATAGTATGTATACAGTGTTGTAGTATGTTTACAGTGTTATAGTATGTATACAGTGTTATAGTATGTTTACAGTGTTATAGTATGTATACAGTGTTGTAGTATGTTTACAGTGTTATAGTATGTATACAGTGTTGTAGTATGTTTACAGTGTTATAGTATGTATACAGTGTTATAGTATGTTTACAGTGTTATAGTATGTATACAGTGTTGTATGTTTACAGTGTTATAGTATGTATACAGTGTTATAGTATGTTTACAGTGTTATAGTATGTATACAGTGTTGTAGTATGTTTACAGTGTTGTAGTATGTATACAGTGTTGTTATAGTATGTTTACAGTGTTGTAGTATGTATACAGTGTTGTAGTATGTATACAGTGTTGTTATAGTATGTTTACAGTGTTGTAGTATGTATACAGTGTTGTTATAGTATGTTTACAGTGTTGTAGTATGTATACAGTGTTGTAGTATGTATACAGTGTTGTTATAGTATGTTTACAGTGTTGTAGTATGTATACAGTGTTGTTATAGTATGTTTACAGTGTTGTAGTATGTATACAGTGTTGTAGTATGTATACAGTGTTGTTGTTATAGTATGTTTACAGTGTTATAGTATGTATACAGTGTTATAGTATGTATACAGTGTTATAGTATGTTTACAGTGTTGTTGTTATAGTATGTATACAGTGTTATAGTATGTTTACAGTGTTATAGTATGTATACAGTGTTGTAGTATGTATACAGTGTTATAGTATGTATACAGTGTTGTTGTTATAGTATGTTTACAGTGTTATAGTATGTATACAGTGTTGTTGTTATAGTATGTATACAGTGTTATAGTATGTATACAGTGTTATAGTATGTATACAGTGTTATAGTATGTTTACAGTGTTATAGTATGTATACAGTGTTGTTGTTATAGTATGTTTACAGTGTTATAGTATGTATACAGTGTTGTTGTTATAGTATGTTTACAGTGTTATAGTATGTATACAGTGTTGTTGTTATAGTATGTTTACAGTGTTATAGTATGTATACAGTGTTGTTGTTATAGTATGTTTACAGTGTTATAGTATGTTTACAGTGTTGTTGTTATAGTATGTTTACAGTGTTATAGTATGTTTACAGTGTTGTTGTTATAGTATGTTTACAGTGTTTATAGTATGTATACAGTTGTTATAGTATGTATACAGTGTTGTTGTTATAGTATGTTTACAGTGTTATAGTATGTATACAGTGTTGTTGTTATAGTATGTTTACAGTGTTATAGTATGTTTACAGTGTTATAGTATGTTTACAGTGTTATAGTATGTTTACAGTGTTGTTGTTATAGTATGTTTACAGTGTTATAGTATGTTTACAGTGTTGTTGTTATAGTATGTTTACAGTGTTGTAGTATGTATACAGTGTTGTTGTTATAGTATGTATACAGTGTTGTTGTTATAGTATGTTTACAGTGTTGTAGTATGTTTACAGTGTTGTAGTATGTTTACAGTGTTGTTATGTATACAGTGTTATAGTATGTATACATGTTGTTATAGATATGTTTACAGTGTTGTAGTATGTTACAGTGTTGTAGTATGTATACAGTGTTGTAGGTATGTTTTCAGTGTTGTGTGTAGGTATACAGTGGTTGTAGTATGTTTTACAGTGTTGTAGTATGTATACAGTGTTTAGTAGTTACAGTGTTGTAGTATGTATACAGTGTTGTAGTATGTTACATGTTTTAGTATGTATACAGTGTTGTAGTATGTTGTACAGTGTTGTAGTATGTATACAGTGGGTTATAGTATGTTACAGTGTTTGTATGTATACAGTGTTGTATATGTATACAGTGTTGTATGTTTACAGTGTTTAGTATGTTTACAGGTGTTGTAGTAGTTTACAGTGTTGTAGTATGTTACAGTGTTGTAGTATGTTTACAGTGTTGTAGTATTTTACAGTGTTGTAGTATGTTTACAGTGTTGTATGTACTGTTTCATGTGTTGTAGTATGTTTACAGTGTTGTAGTATGTTTACAGTGTTGTAGTATGTATACAGTGTTGTTATAGTATGTTTACAGTGTTATAGTATGTATACAGTGTTGTTGTTATAGTATGTTTACAGTGTTATAGTATGTATACAGTGTTGTTGTTATAGTATGTTTACAGTGTTTAGTATGTTACAGGATGTTTACAGTGTATGTATGTATACAGTGTTGTAGTATGTATACAGTGTTGTTGTTATAGTATGTTACAGTGTTATAGTATGTATACAGTGTTGTTGTTATAGTATGTTTACAGTGTTATAGTATGTTTACAGTGTTATAGTATGTTTACAGTGTTATAGTATGTTTACAGTGTTGTTGTTATAGTATGTTTACAGTGTTTAGAGTATGTTACAGTGTTGTTGTTATAGTATGTTTACAGTGTTGTAGTATGTATACAGTGTTGTTGTTATAGTATGTATACAGTGTTGTTGTTATAGTATGTTTACAGTGTTGTAGTATGTTTACAGTGTTATAGTATGTTTACAGTGTTGTAGTATGTATACAGTGTTATAGAATGTAGACAGTGTTGTTATAGTATGTTTAGCAGTGTTGTAGTATGTATACAGTGTTGTAGTATGTAATACAGTGTTGTAGTATGTTTACAGTGTTGTAGTATTATACAGTGTTGTAGTATGTTTACAGTGTTGTAGTATGTATACAGTGTTTATAGTATGGGTATACAGTGTTGTAGTATGTATACACGTGTTGTAGTAATGTATACAGTGTTGTAGTATGTATACAGTGTTGTAGTATGTTTACAGTGTTGTAGTATGTATACAGTGGTGTTATAGTATGTATACAGTGTTGTAGTATGTATACAGTGTTGTAGTATGTATACAGTGGTGTTATAGTATGTTTACAGTGTTGTAGTATGTTTACAGTGTTGTAGTATGTTTACAGTGTTGTAGTATGTTTACAGTGTTGTAGTATGTTTACAGTGTTGTAGTATGTTTACAGTGTTGTAGTATGTATACAGTGTTGTTGTTATAGTATGTTTACAGTGTTATAGTATGTATACAGTGTTGTAGTATGTATACAGTGTTATAGTATGTATACAGTGTTGTTGTTATAGTATGTTTACAGTGTTATAGTATGTATACAGTGTTGTTGTTATAGTATGTTTACAGTGTTGTTATAGTATGTTTACACTGTTATAGTATGTTGATGGTTGTTCCCCGTGTCTCTTCAGACCACGTGGAGCTGGTGAAGCGCACCATGGCCTCCGTGGCTCTGCCGGCTCTCGTGGTTCCTCCGTGGGCCAAAGAGATCTCAGAGGACCAGTGGAAGGACATGGTGGAGAACACTCTGCAGAGCCATCAGAGAAACACCCTGACGCAGCTCAGCGGGCCCTGAACGCACCGCAGCGGGCCCTGAACGCACCACCACCACAGAAACAACCTTTACTGACCCTGAACGCACTACCAGGACGTCCACCTCTTCTGACCCTGAACGCACCACCAGGACGTCCACCTCTTCTGACCCTGAACGCACCACCAGGACGTTCACCTCTTCTGACCCTGAACGCACCACGACTACTTCAGGGAATAACAGCACGAGGAGGGAAGCTGAATGTTTTAGATTTTTAACTTTAACGCCAAGTCATGCATATGTATTTCTCCATCTGATCGTCTCTAGAGTAAAGTGCTTCATCTGATCATCTCTAGAGTAAAGAGGTCCATCTGATCGTCTGTAGAGTAAAGAGGTCCATCTGATCATCTCTAGAGTAAAGAGGTCCATCTGATCATCTCTAGAGTAAAGAGGTCCATCTGATCATCTCTAGAGTAAAGAGGTCCATCTGATCGTCTCTAGAGTAAAGAGGTCCATCTGATCGTCTCTAGAGTAAAGAGGTCCATCTGATCGTCTCTAGAGTAAAGTGCTCCATCTGATCGTCTCTAGAGTAAAGTGCTCCATCTGATCATCTCTAGAGTAAAGAGGTCCATCTGATCGTCTCTAGAGTAAAGTGCTTCATCTGATCATCTCTAGAGTAAAGAGCTCCATCTGATCGTCTCTAGAGTAAAGTGCTCCATCTGATCATCTCTAGAGTAAAGAGGTCCATCTGATCGTCTCTAGAGTAAAGTGCTCCATCTGATCATCTCTAGAGTAAAGTGCTCCATCTGATCATCTCTAGAGTAAAGTGCTCCATCTGATCATCTCTAGAGTAAAGTGCTCCATCTGATCATCTCTAGAGTAAAGTGCTTCAGGGACGGAGAGCAATGCTTTTAATCTGCATTTTGTACAAACTCTGAAACTTAAAGACGCTCAAACCTTTGTTCATCTTTCCTGCAGAATAAAGTGTTTGAGTTAAGATGTCATTTTAAAGATTAAAATAATCATTAATTGCATTTAAAGTTTCTCACCTGATGGGTCATTCAGGGTCAAACACAGTGTGGGAGCTTTGAGCCTCTTGTTTAACGCTCTGTAACCCGAACGTTCATCATTTCTTATTTGCATGTTTTCTTTAACTTACGGAGGCCGACGGGAAAGAGCTTCAGGAAGGAGTCGGGTATCAAACCAGATGTTCCTCATGAAGAAACATCTGCAGCATGTAGAGAACATCCATCAGCGGGTGCTAGTGGAGCCTCGCAGACCCCACGCAGCAACCAGGAAACAACAGCAGTAACCCAGCTCTCACTGTCCGCTCCTCGAGCCTCAAAGGGCGGAGCAGCGAGCCCCCCAACGTCCCTCCAACACGGCACCCAGACCCCACGCAGCATTCTCATCTGTTTTTCATTACTGGTGTCATTTTCTGGTTGCTAACAAACGCCATTGTAAAACATAATCACTGATGTTCCGCTGTAACGGTGGTGGACTCATCAGAACAGAGTGGGCGAGCTGACCAATCAGAGCACAGTGGGCTCATAGGGAGGGGGGGGAAGGAGCTCCAACAAGCCGTGTAGGACAGAGAGTGAATACACAGACTATACAGAGATGCTGTATGAGAAACCAATGAGAATCTATTCTAGTAGAGCTCAACTATGGAACTATGATCAGTAGAAATGGCCATGAGTCGTGACATGGGACCTTTAACACATTTTTGGCCTTAAAATTAAATAAAACTGGAATTTAAACAAACACTTTGAGGAGAGACGTTTTTTAATTAAACTGTTTTCATGTCTCCATGCTCTGATTGGTTAGCTGGCCGGCTCTGTTGTGATTGGTCAACCTCTTAGAGATGTCCCGCCCCTTAGCCTATCACGTGCAATGTGTTTGAGTGCTAGTGATGTCACTATGTTCCTGAAGTAAACAAAGTCCAAAAAGGAAGATATTTAAGAAGACGTCACATTCTGCCTTTTCTTGAAGCTTCTTGTTGTAATGATTGTACGTGTGTGTGTGTGTGTGTGTGTGTGTGTGTGAGAGAGAGAGAGAGAACACAGAAACCGTGAAACATGTATTTCTTTTTATTCTTCACCAACATCTGTACAAACCAGCCTCTCATTCTGTGTCATGTTTCATTAAAGCTCTCCTGAACTCGATGTCTTGACGGAATATATTCATTAAACCTGAAGTTTAGCGAGTTTTAAATCTTAGATCGTAAAAAGTGTCATTGTGTTTCGGAGGATCTGAGAGGAAGTGAAACTCAAAGAGAAACAAAGCTGAGACGATCTTCGTCACAATGTTTCTGAACTTCGCCAGACTCTGAAATAAAGTCGTTAGATTTCGTTCTGAAGCTGAAATCAAGAAATTAGGAAGTTTAGTTTTTTAGAGAAACTGTCCGGCGGCGAGAGAAGTGGGCGGGGCTAACAAACACCTGGAACAATTGACAGCCAATCACACGACGGCGTGCAGCGACTGATCGGAAACCAGCCGACAGTAGGGGGCGTGGCCTACAGAAGGGGGCGTGGCTCTGGTCACATGACAATAATAATACATATTCATATTCTCTCTAAAAGACGTTGTTTGTGCAGCTCCTGGACTTCGCTCCGCCGCGACAGGAAGTCGAGATCTTACGTGTTTTTTTTATTACCGTGATCCCGAGTTAATTCTTTAATAAAATGAGTTTTGTTTTTAATAAAGAAAACGATATCCGAGATAACGACGCTGACCTGTGAGCCGCTCCGCAGTGAGAGGTTCAGGGTGTTTGTGATTGTTTGGTCAGGTGGAGGGGGCGGGGCTCCGTGCTGACGTGTGATTGGTCAGGTGGAGGGGGCGGGGCTCCGTGCTGACGTGTGATTGGTCAGGTGGAGGGGGCGGGGCTCCGTGCTGACGTGTGATTGGTTGGTCAGGTGGAGGGGGCGGGGCTCCGTGCTGACGTGTGATTGTTTGGTCAGGTGGAGGGGGCGGGGCTCCGTGCTGACGTGTGATTGTTTGGTCAGGTGGAGGGGGCGGGGCTCCGTGCTGACGTGTGATTGTTTGGTCAGGTGGAGGGGGCGGGGCTCCGTGCTGCATTCAGGTGCTGTTTCCACTGCGGGAACAATGGTTATTCACGTGCAAACAAAATCTGTTTACGTCCAAAAATGAATAAATAAGTAAATATTGATTTCAGAAATACGAGTTGACTTTCTGAACCAAACAACGTGTGATCCCACAGATTTCAGATTCATGTCAGGAAGATCTGTTTTTAAGTCTCGTGTGCGTCTCGTTTTATAAAATGTAAACGATGTGTTCAGGGAGCGTAGGAGAGATGAGATCCCGCAGTGGAGAGGAGCTGGCGGTACGTTCAGGGAGCAGAGGAGAGATGAGATCCCGCAGTGGAGAGGAGCTGGCGGTGCGTTCAGGGAGCGTAGGAGAGATGAGTTCCCGCAGTGGAGAGGAGCTGGCGGTGCGTTCAGGGAGCAGAGGAGAAACGTCTACACAGCAGGGGTCAGAGGTCAGCTTCCTGTCTGACCCCGGGGCCAGTCCTCAGATTCCTCCAATGGGAGAGTCCTGCTTAGGAGGCCCCGCCCCCCGGTCAGAGAGCCTCCTGATTGGCTGTCAGGTATTCCTCCGCCCTCTTGTGAGCCTCCAGAGCTTTGATGGTGTAAACGTCCTGCGGCAACTCCGACTTCCTGCGCGTCAACACCTTCTCCGTCTTCAGGTCCTTCATGCCCTAAAGATAATATATATATATTAATATAACATCAACACCTTCTCCGTCTTCAGGTCCTTCATGCCCTAAAGATATCACATATATATATATATATATGTTAAAGGTCCCATGTCATGCTTCTCTGGTTATTCACCGTCCCCTTGTGTTCTGAAGCTTCTGCATGTGAACGGTCTGCAGAGTCACAATTCCTCAAAGTGCACCCTGTAGGGAGTAAAGCTCTAACACAGAGAAGAGCTGTCTATGCTGCCCCAGAACGCCTCGCTGGACATTTCTCTTTTTCCATTGTTTACTTCTTGGGTATAGTGACGTATTTCGGGTATAGTGACGTAACGTAACGTAACGTCCGTGGAGCCGTTACGTTTGGACCAATGCGCGGACTTCCTTACACACACACGGCGGGCTGCTGCGAGGAGCGGACACTGAGCTGGCTCACTGGTGTGGGGACGGCGAGACAGAGAGACACCGCGGAACTCAGCCTGAGCAAACACACACACACTCCCTGCGGGGGGTGTGTGTGTTTCGGGCTGGGTTTCGCTGTGTCTCTCTGTCTCGCAGACGGCCACTGGGCTCACAGGGAGGGAGGGGGGGGGGGGCAGGAGCTCCAACAAGGCGTGTAGGACAGAGAGTGAATACACATCCTATACAGAGATGCTGTTTGAGAAACCAATGTGAGTTTGGAACATTGAACAATGTACATCTATTCTAGTAGACCTCAACTATGGAACTATGATCAGTAGAAATGGCCGTGACATGGGACCTTTAAGATAAATATAAATAATATGAGATATACAAATATAATATATAAATATATATATAATAAATATAAATATATAATCTAAAGCAGAGTACCTGCGAGGCCTCGCTCTCCACGGTCTTCTTCAGCAGCTGGATGTCCTCCACAGTAGGCGTCTCCGTCTCCATGGAGGACACAGCAGGACTGTCCCCGTGCAGCAAGTACTGCACACACACACACACACACACACACACACATATATATATATATATATATTATATACATCACTGTAGAAACTCACTAGCTTAGCAACAGTAAGGCTAAAAACAACCCATAATGCAACACTCTGTTTAAAGTCTCTATCTGGCTCCAGTCCAGCAGGTGGTGACAGAGAGACACTTCACTGTGAGGGACAGAAGGAGAGGAGTGACAGAGAGACACTTCACTGTGAGGGACAGAAGGAGAGGAGTGACACAGAGACACTTCACTGTGAGGGACAGAAGGAGAGGAGTGACAGAGAGACACTTCACTGTGAGGGACAGAAGGAGAGGAGTGACAGAGAGACACTTCACTGTGAGGGACAGAAGGAGAGGAGTGACACAGAGAGACACTTCACTGTGAGGGACAGAAGGAGAGGAGTGACAGAGAGACACTTCACTGTGAGGGACAGAAGGAGAGGAGTGACACAGAGACACTTCACTGTGAGGGACAGAAGGAGAGGAGTGACACAGAGACACTTCACTGTGAGGGACAGAAGGAGAGGAGTGACACAGAGACACTTCACTGTGAGGGACAGAAGGAGAGGAGTGACACAGAGACACTTCACTGTGAGGGACAGAAGGAGAGGAGTGACACAGAGACACTTCACTGTGAGGGACAGAAGGAGAGGAGTGACACAGAGACACTTCACTGTGAGGGACAGAAGGAGAGGAGTGACACAGAGACACTTCACTGTGAGGGACAGAAGGAGAGGAGTGACACAGAGACACTTCACTGTGAGGGACAGAAGGAGAGGAGTGACACAGAGACACTTCACTGTGAGGGACAGAAGGAGAGGAGTGACACAGAGACACTTCACTGTGAGGGACAGAAGGAGAGGCTACTTCACTGTGAGGACAGAGGAGAGGAGGACAGAGAGACACTTCACTGTGAGGGACAGAAGGAGAGGAGTGACACAGAGACACTTCACTGTGAGGGACAGAAGGAGAGGAGTGACACAGAGACACTTCACTGTGAGGGACAGAAGGAGAGGAGTGACACACGGATTCACCCTAAATGAAGCTAAATGAAGCTACATGAAGCTACATGAAGCTACATGGAAGCTACATGGAAGCTACATGGAAGCTACATGGAAGCTAAATGAAGCTACATGAAGCTACATGGAAGCTACATGGAAGCTAAATGAAGCTAAATGGAAGCTACATGGAAGCTAAATGAAGCTACATGGAAGCTAAATGAAGCTAAATGAAGCTAAATGGAAGCTACATGGAAGCTAAATGAAGCTAAATGGAAGCTACATGGAAGCTACATGAAGCTACATGAAGCTACATGGAAGCTAAATGGAAGCTACATGGAAGCTACATGGAAGCTAAATGAAGCTACATGGAAGCTAAATGAAGCTACATGAAAGCTACATGGAAGCTAAATGAAGCTACCTGAAAGCTACATGGAAGCTAAATGAAGCTACATGGAAGCTACATGGAAGCTAAATGAAGCTACATGGAAGCTAAATGAAGCCAAATGGAAGCTACATGGAAGCTAAATGAAGCTACATGAAGCTACATGAAAGCTAAATGAAGCTACATGGAAGCTAAATGAAGCTACATGGAAGCTAAATGAAGCTAAATTAAATCTAAAATAACTCAGACTCAGAGACAGCTTCAGGTCTAAAACCACCAGACTCAGAGATAGTTTCAGGACTAAAACCACCAGACTCAGAGACAGCTTCAGGACTAAAACCACCAGACTCAGAGACAGTTTCAGGACTAAAACCACCAGACCCAGAGACAGCTTCAGGACTAAAACCACCAGACTCAGGGACAGCTTCAGGACTAAAACCACCAGACTCAGGAACAGTTTCAGGACTAAAACCACCAGACTCAGGGACAGTTTCAGGTCTAAAACCACCAGACTCAGGGACAGCATCAGGACTAAAACCACCAGACTCAGGGACAGCTTCAGGACTAAAACCACCAGACTCAGGAACAGTTTCAGGACTAAAACCACCAGGCTTCAGGGACAGTTTCAGGACTAAAACCACCAGACTCAGGGACAGTTTCAGGTCTAAAACCACCAGACTCAGGAACAGTTTCAGGACTAAAACCACCAGGCTCAGGGACAGTTTCAGGACTAAAACCACCAGACTCAGAGACAGTTTCAGGACTAAAACCACCAGACTCAGAGACAGTTTCAGGACTAAAACCACCAGACTCAGGGACAGCATTAGGACTAAAACCACCAGACTCAGGGACAGCTTCAGGACTAAAACCACCAGACTCAGGGACAGTTTCAGGACTAAAACCACCAGACTCAGAGACAGTTTCAGGACTAAAACCACCAGACTCAGGGACAGCTTCAGGACTAAAACCACCAGACTCAGGGACAGTTTCAGGACTAAAACCACCAGACTCAGAGACAGTTTCAGGTCTAAAACCACCAGACTCAGAGACAGTTTCATCCCACAGGCCATCAGACTGTTAAACACCTGAACTCTGAAACAACATCCATAACATTCATCTGCTACTTAGAAACTATTTATCTATTCATCTAATATATCATATTCCAATAACTTGCATGTAGACTCTTATTTCACTAGTTCACTATTTCACTTTTTTAAACTATTTTTGTATTTACTATTTACTATATTCTGTGTATCTGTGTTATTGTGTTGCTCTGTGGGAGGAGCCTGTGACCTCAGATCTTCATCGTCATAACTACACTGAAGATATGTTCGTATGACTAAATAAAAACCTTGAACCTGAACCTTGAACCAGGCCATTCTCAAGTGTAGGCATATCAGTTTGAGTCAATCAAGCAACACAAATCATAACTTGACAAACATTAAACACAATAATAAACAGACACTGACCTCTTCCTGTGGGCGGAGCCCGGGGCGGAGCTTATTGATCTACAGGAAACAGATCAGCTGATTAGAGAGTGTGAGATATATATAACACCTGTGTGTGTGTGTTCTCAGTGTGTGTGTGTGTGTGTGTGTTCTCAGCGTGTGTGTTCTCAGTGTGTGTGTGTGTGTGTGTGTGTGTGTGTGTGTTCTCAGCGTGTGTGTTCTCAGTGTGTGTGTGTGTTCTCAGTGTGTGTGTGTTCTCAGTGTGTGTGTGTTTGTCTAAGTGTGTGTGTGTTCTCAGTGTGTGTGTGTGTTCTCAGTGTATGTGTGTGTGTGTTCTCAGTGTGTGTGTGTTCTCAGTGTGTGTGTGTTCTCAGTGTATGTGTGTGTTTGTCTCAGTGTGTGTGTGTGTGTGTGTGTGTGTTCTCAGTGTGTGTGTGTGTTCTCAGTGTGTGTGTGTTCTCAGCGTGTGTATGTTCTCAGCATGTGTGTGTGTGTTCTCAGCGTGTGTGTTCTCAGCTTGTGTGTGTGTTCAGTGTGTGTGTTCTCAGTGTGTGTGTGTGTTCTCAGTGTGTGTGTTCAGTGTGTGTGTTCTCAGCTTGTGTGTGTGTGCAGCCGCAGTGCAGCCCACAGTGCAGCCACAGTGCAGTGCAGCCCGCAGTGCAGCCACAGTGCAGACACAGTGCAGCCACAGTGCAGCCCGCAGTGCAGCCACAGTGCAGCCACAGTGCAGCCACAGTGCAGTGCAGCCCACAGTGCAGCCACAGTGCAGACACAGTGCAGCCACAGTGCAGCCCGCAGTGCAGCCACAGTGCAGCCACAGTGCAGCCCGCAGTGCAGCCCGCAGTGCAGCCACAGTGCAGCCCGCAGTGCAGCCCGCAGTGCAGCCACAGTGCAGCCACAGTGCAGCCCGCAGTGCAGCCACAGTGCAGCCCGCAGTGCAGCCACAGTGCAGCCACAGTGCAGCCCGCAGTGCAGCGACAGTGCAGCCCGCAGTGCAGCCACAGTGCAGCCACAGTGCAGCCCGCAGTGCAGCCCGCAGTGCAGCCCGCAGTGCAGCCCGCAGTGCAGCCCGCAGTGCAGCCCGCAGTGCAGCCCGCAGTGCAGCCCGCAGTGCAGCCACAGTGCAGCCCGCAGTGCAGCCACAGTGCAGCCCGCAGTGCAGCCACAGTGCAGCCACAGTGCAGCCCGCAGTGCAGCGACAGTGCAGCCACAGTGCAGTCCGCAGTGCAGCCCGCAGTGCAGCCCGCAGTGCAGCCCGCAGTGCAGCCACAGTGCAGCCACAGTGCAGCCCGCAGTGCAGCCACAGTGCAGCCACAGTGCAGCCCGCAGTGCAGCCACAGTGCAGCCACAGTGCAGCCCGCAGTGCAGCCACAGTGCAGCCCGCAGTGCAGCCACAGTGCAGCCACAGTGCAGCCCGCAGTGCAGCCCACAGTGCAGCCACAGTGCAGCCACAGTGCAGCCCGCAGTGCAGCGCGGCTGCCAAAGAAAAGCACAAAAACTAATATCCGAATAACGAAATTCAAAACCGAATAGTAGGCCAACGACCGAATATTCAGATATTCGGGTACAGCCCTAGTTCTTTGTGTGTGTGTGTGTGTGTACCTGAGGGTTCTTCTGGGCGAGCTCCTCGATCTTCAGCCAGATTTCCTCTCTCTCCTTCAGCTTAAACTTCTCTCTGCACACAGGAAACATGTTACACTGAGTGTGAGTGTGCGTGCATGTGTGTGTGTGTGCGTGCATGTGTGCGTGTGTGTGTACCTCTGTTTCTCGGCCTTGTACTGCTGGGTGCAGTCGTCAAACAGTTTCTGGTTCATCTCCATGAAGAGCTTCAGAGCGTTGTAGATCAGCCCGTGGATCGTCCTGAGGAGAAACACCTGTCATTCATATCTATATTATTCATGTGTGTGTGTGTGTGTGTGTGTGAGAGCATCTTACTTGTTCCAGTGGCTCTTGGAGTTCTTGTAGAGCGCGGGGAACATGATGGGGAGGATCTTGGCGGCGTTGTCGCTGATCAGACTCATGATGTACTCGTTGTTCCAGTAATATAGAGCCCTCTCTGCCACCTACACACACACACACACACACACACACACACACACACACACACACACACACCACACACACACACACACACACACACACACACACACACACACACACACACACACACACACACACACACACACACACACACACACACACACACACACACACACACACACACACACACACACACACACACACACACACACACACACACACACACACACACTGTATGTATTTCCAATAATGTATACTTGTATTGATCAGAGGGGGTTTATTGTGACTGCATGAGTGAAAGCTTGAGGTACCTGGAAGTGCGGGCTGGACACACACTTGGCCAGCTGTCTGAACAGCGGCTCCTGGACCTTCATGAACTCCGAGGGCTCGATGACGTCCAGGATCTCCTCCAGCTCGTTCAGGAACATCACCTCCTTCGGACTGTGGGTCTTCGGCCAGAACTTCAGCAGACCCACGATCACCTGCCGGGTCAGAACCTACCGTGAGCTACAGGAACTACAGCAGGGTCACATGACTTCAGACAGGAACTACAGCAGGGTCACATGACTTCAGACAGGAACTACAGCAGGGTCACATGACTTCAGACAGGAACTACAGCAGGGTCACATGACTTCAGACAGGAACTACAGCAGGGTCACATGACTTCAGACCGGAACTACAGCAGGGTCACATGACTTCAGACCGGAACTACAGCAGGGTCACATGACTTCAGACAGGAACTACAGCAGGGTCACATGACTTCAGACAGGAAATACAGCAGGGTCACATGACTTCAGACAGGAACTACAGCAGGGTCACATGTCTTTAGGACTCATAATGCTGACTCAGGTCTTGAGGACTCATAATGCTGACTCATGTCTTCAGGAATCATAATGCTGACTCAGGTCTTTAGGACTCATAATGCTGACTCATGTCTTGAGGACTCATAATGCTGACTCGTGTCTTCAGGACTCATAATGCTGACTCAGGTCTTTAGGACTCATAATGCTGACTCATGTCTTCAGGACTCATAATGCTGACTCAGGTCATGTTTGAGGACTCATAATGCTGACTCAGGTCATGTTTGAGGACTCATAATGCTGACTCATGTCTTAAGGACTCATAATGCTGACTCAGGTCTTTAGGACTCATAATGCTGACTCAGGTCATGTTTGAGGACTCATAATGCTGACTCAGGTCTTGAGGACTCATAATGCTGACTCAGGTCTTGAGGACTCATAATGCTGACTCATGTCTTCAGGACTCATAATGCTGACTCAGGTCATGTTTGAGGACCCATAATGCTGACTCATGTCTTCAGGACTCATAATGCTGACTCAGGTCTTTAGGACTCATAATGCTGACTCAGGTCATGTTTGAGGACTCATAATGCTGACTCAGGTCTTGTTTGAGGACTCATAATGCTGACTCAGGTCATGTTTGAGGACTCATAATGCTGACTCAGGTCATGTTTGAGGACTCATAATGCTGACTCAGGTCATGTTTGAGGACTCATAATGCTGACTCAGGTCATGTTTGAGGACTCATAATGCTGACTCAGGTCTTGTTTGAGGACTCATAATGCTGACTCAGGTCATGTTTGAGGACCCATAATGCTGACTCATGTCTTCAGGACTCATAATGCTGACTCAGGTCTTTAGGACTCATAATGCTGACTCAGGTCAGGTCTTGAGGACTCATAATGCTGACTCAGGTCTTGAGGACTCATAATGCTGACTCAGGTCATGTTTGAGGACTCATAATGCTGACTCAGGTCTTGAGGACTCATAATGCTGACTCAGGTCTTGAGGACTCATAATGCTGACTCATGTCTTCAGGACTCATAATGCTGACTCAGGTCTTTAGGACTCATAATGCTGACTCAGGTCATGTTTGAGGACTCATAATGCTGACTCAGGTCTTGAGGACTCATAATGCTGACTCAGGTCATGTTTGAGGACTCATAATGCTGACTCAGGTCTTTAGGACTCATAATGCTGACTCAGGTCATGTTTGAGGACTCATAATGCTGACTCAGGTCATGTTTGAGGACTCATAATGCTGACTCAGGTCATGTTTGAGGACCCATAATGCTGACTCATGTCTTCAGGACTCATAATGCTGACTCAGGTCTTTAGGACTCATAATGCTGACTCAGGTCATGTTTGAGGACTCATAATGCTGACTCAGGTCTTGAGGACTCATAATGCTGACTCAGGTCATGTTTGAGGACTCATAATGCTGACTCAGGTCTTGAGGACTCATAATGCTGACTCAGGTCATGTTGGAGGACTCATAATGCTGACTCATGTCTTCAGGACTCATAATGCTGACTCATGTCATGAGGACTCATAATGCTGACTCAGGTCTTTAGGACTCATAATGCTGACTCAGGTCTTTAGGACTCATAATGCTGACTCAGGTCTTTAGGACTCATAATGCTGACTCAGGTCATGTTGGAGGACTCATAATGCTGACTCATGTCATGAGGACTCATAATGCTGACTCAGGTCTTTAGGACTCATAATGCTGACTCAGGTCATGTCATGAGGACTCATAATGCTGACTCATGTCTTCAGGACTCATAATGCTGACTCAGGTCTTGAGGACTCATAATGCTGACTCAGGTCATGTTGGAGGACTCATAATGCTGACTCATGTCTTCAGGACTCATAATGCTGACTCATGTCATGAGGACTCATAATGCTGACTCATGTCTTCAGGACTCATAATGCTGACTCAGGTCTTGAGGACTCATAATGCTGACTCAGGTCATGTTGGAGGACTCATAATGCTGACTCATGTCTTCAGGACTCATAATGCTGACTCATGTCATGAGGACTCATAATGCTAACTCAGGTCTTTAGGACTCATAATGCTGACTCAGGTCATGAGGACTCATAATGCTGACTCAGGTCTTGAGGACTCATAATGCTGACTCAGGTCTTGAGGACTCATAATGCTGACTCAGGTCTTGAGGACTCATAATGCTGACTCATGTCTTACTCACAGACTCGGTCAGGCTGCTCTCCTTCTCCAGGAACTGAACCACGCAGTAGGCGAGCTGCAGACACACAGGTGCGTCACGGTTACACAATACATTTCATTTATATTTCAAAAGGTGTATTTGAATAAATGGTTGTGATTGGTCAATGTGGGCTTTCAGCGGTCTGTTGCTAGGCAGGTTGCATGGAGTTACATTGTGATGCGTTCAGGCTCCATCCAGTGAGAGTGAGCTGTGAGTCAGACCTGAGGGTGGTAGACGCTCAGAGACTTGACTTTGTGAAGCGGCAGCAGCACGCGGGTCAGGAACATCTTGTGCTCCTCCTTCAGAGGCAAAGCGAAGCCGTTGATGATGCTGCGGAGAGACAGGAAGTCACCACACTACACTGTGTGTGTGTG